ATGGATAAATAAAAACAGATATATACTTTTGGAAGTAGAGATTAATCTGAAAAATTCAGCCCAGTTTTTGACTATTTCCAGGGAAAAGGGAGTGGCCTTTTCTCTTTCTCATGAATTTCGAACTCCTCTGTCCGGCACTTAAAAGCCCCTTTAAAATCTGGCTTCAAATCACTTTTCCAGGCTCATTATACGTAATTCCTGTCCATGTACTCTACAATTCAGACAAACTGGCTTTATTGCTGTTCCTCACACATGACATTCTAGCTCCTGTCTAAATGCTTTTGCACTAGCTGCCCCTTACTCCTAGAAGGCACCCTCTCCTCACCTCTTGGAACCCTCTGTGCTTTTTAAAACTAGCTCAGCTGTCATCTCCTACATGATGCCTTTTCCTCATCATCCCAGTTGCCAGTACTTTCTCTCCAAACTACCTTGTAATTACTATCTACATACCTTACATATACTATTAAGTACACATGTTGCTTCCAGAGAATGTAAGCAGCTTGAAAGCAGGAACTTGTTTCATTTCTGTCTGTCTCACTAGACAAAGTACCAGTTACTAGTAAGTGCTTAATAAACACTTGTAGGTTGTCAGGTCTGAAGCACAATGTTACCAGTAAGTCTAGCAGTTTATCACCTTTCCTTTAGAAATTTATGTTCATATGAGAAAAAACAAAAATGTTCTTTGATCTTCTTTTATTCTCTATTCATGAATAATTTGGGAAACTTAAGAAAATTAAGCCACACTTTCACCTGGCTATATATTCTTGGCCTCGACATAATCTAAGCATTTTTGTGTCCCTTAACTAACTTTCACATGTGTGATTGCTTACTTGTAACTCAATATTTCACTCCAAAGTAACTTATTTTTCAAATGATTACAAGGTGTAGCCAGAAAATGTGATTATCAGGGGAGTACAAAAATGAACAACTCAAAAGGAGTCTGAACAATTCCTGATTCTTCACTATCTTCTGCCTTCTTGCCTTAAAATACTGAATTTAATTTTTATTCCTATTTTTTAAACCTTTTCCTCCTCCTTCTATTTCAATCATACAAAAGTAGACATAAAATCTGTAGTTATGTAAACTCCCCCTTGTGGTCCCTATGTCCTGATCAAAAATTTTCAAAAAGGACAGACCTTCTTTGAAAAGAAAAAAAATTATGAAAAACAATTTTTCATCCTCAATTGCTTTTATTCTAAATGATCACAAAATACAACAGACGAATAAGGTTTGAGTTAAAAAAAAAACACCTGAAAATTAAAAGCCTATGTGTATTGTGCAATAGGTTGCAAATCAATTTGAGTAAAATCCTTTTATAATCAACTAGAAGAATAAGTTTAAATTTTTCTGTGGTACTGGAATTTTATCAAATCAAACACTACTTTAAATAAGCAGCCTATCCCTGGGGCCTGGCAATAAAAAGACAAGTTATGATGTTATAAACTATATAGCCTACATCATTTGGGCAGGTCTGGTCTTACACTTCTAGAAAATTTTTTAAATTGTTCTATCTAGAAATGACACTGACCTTAAATATGAGGAAGGACTCATTAACACTTCATGTTCTTATAAATAAACAATTTACAAATCAATGACCTCTCCTCATAAAAAATTTAATTGTCCTTATACTTTAATAAATATGATGTCTGGAAAAATAATTTCAGCACAGGATTGATATGTCTTTAGGACATGAAATTCAGATATAGAATAACTAAATCAACTGAACACTAGACTTAAGAATTTTTGGCCTGCTACTATTTATACTATTCAATTTAGATATATACTAAAAACTTATCACAACATAAGAAAGCGAAACATATGCAATATTACAAATGTAAAATTCACTTATAAGTTAGATTATAAAGTTTATACAATTTCTCAAGTATTATAAACTCAAAGGATTAAATTATTTCCTGGATAAATGATTTAACAGAGGTTGTTATGTGTAAGTAGTTTAGTAAGTAATAAAGGTACTTCCTTTTTAGAAATAATGAAATTTATGTTGAAGGGACATATAGTAAGCATTCAACATGTATGTTGCAATTAAACAACCTGGGTGGGCCTCAGTTTCCCCATCAGCAAAATTAGAGGATTAATAGCCACTATGGTCCCTTCAAACTCTAAAACTGTAATTATATTATTCTAATTTACCAACAAGGCAGCTCCTGGAGATACAAAGATAAATAAGAAAGGCATGATTCCTGCTATTAAAAAGTTATCTAGCAGACAATATCATTTGGTTTTTATCCTTTATTTAGCATCTCCAATATAAGTTCTTATTTTCTAGCACATACTTCTATCTTCAGAGGCAACATATTGTAATAGAATTTGAGAAGTTTTGAGTCTTCAAGTGCCACCTCTGAAATATACTGCCTATATGACCCTTAACCTCTCTGTGTTATGGGCAACTTTCTTAATACTATCCAATGCAAAGCTATATGCACTGATTGACAGAATTTCCTTAAGAGTTCTTATACAGATGTAATGAAAGTTCCAGACCAATAACAATTCATAAAAAGGTAGAGTCAAATTCAAAAGAAATACTGGCTAAGAAATTGATTTATTTAAAACTAGAAATGTATATAGAGTATGTGATGTTAAAATAATTCAATATGCACTTGATTTTGTATCTGATATGTGATTAAAATTGTATACAATGTATTAACAAGGTGGGAAAAAATCAAGAAAATTAAAACTGGATTTAAAAATTTAGATTTTTAAAAAATAAATAGGCCTTTGAAATTAAAATAAGTTTGAATTTTTTAAATTTATATAGCAATAGTTTTAATAAGTGGGAGTTTGAAGCATCATGAAATAAAGGTTATATTCTAATTATGTAATGTACTATGATAACAGTGATATAAACTTTTTAGAAAAGTTTTACAAATGGAAAACAGTAAGTCATGTACAATATTAATGGCCTAATCTGATGGAGTTCCCAGAGGTTCCTAATGGATTATTTAGAAAGATCAAAAAGCAGTCTATGAATGAATGGAAAGGGGACAAAGAATGAATTAGCGCACACATAGCCACATTATTTTGAGTTTCTCATACTGACCTGGGTGAAGTAGTACGCTTATTTTTTTAATCTCTAATGTATAAAAGGAAGAATTCAAATAGAGATATACTCAGGCTTTTTCTAATGACTGATTTTCTGGGTAAAAGAACAGAATCAGAACAGAGAAGCTTAGTGTTTAAATAAGAAAAACTTGGAAATGTATATTTATTTGTAATGATTGTCCACAAGGATCCTTCAAATACTCTACTAAAACTATCTCATTACTTTATTAAATGGTTACTTTAAATTCAAAAGAAAAAATTAAATCCTCATTCAGTGGTGTGACAGCTTACAATTTAAACTAAAAAAGATCAAAATTAAAAACTTTCAAAAGTGTCCTTTCTAAAATTGAAACTTACAGCTGAGCTATAAAGAACAAATATTATGTTAAACAAGGCAGTTTTAAGAAATGTGAATACCTTCAAGTCTCCTTGACAAGTAATTTAAATAAAATTCACCCTACTACACGTCAAAGATTTTTTAACCTCTTACTATCTCCATGTATAAACTTAATTTTTCACACATACATATATATGATATTCTACACTGTTGAACAAGACAAAATAATAGACCATAGATTGGAAACAATAACTTGTTTCTCATTAACATACTATCATTTCCTAGATACTTTGTCCTACCCTACCTCCACTCCCTTCTGTGCCCTACAACTCTTAAAAACAACTACACTGGTTTCATTGTAATAATCCAAGTCAAAAGGTTTTAAAAAAAAAAAGTCTAAGTACTATATTACTTCAAGAACTACTTTTTGAAAGCCAACCAAAATAAGAATTCTTCTTGTAAAGAAGGCTAATCAAATAAAGTGCAGGGAGGATGAGTACTTCAATGCCAATAATCTGAACATTATGAAAACTCAAAACCGAGAAAGAAATCCAAAGTCCAGCTGAAAAACATGAAACAATTCAACTAGAAGTTAAATACTTTCTATTATGGTAAAATCACAAAATACACATAGAAACTTGTCACAAACTCAAAATAATTTCCCACAGTATTTCCTCAAGTCAATCTTCAAGTAATAAAATTAGTTACTACCACTCTCCTAAGAAAGGCTATCTTACAGTCTTAAGGAGACCTCCCAACTAAATATTTCCTTATCTCTATGCCAAAATGTTCCCTGATCAGATCTATTTGTACAACAGGACAGAACTAGAATCTTGACCCACACTTAAGAATACTTCCACTTTTAGTCCTATGTATGGTTTCCAAAAACTGTATCATACCACACTTCATTCAGGGTACTAAAAAACTAAATTGTCATTACCCAATTAAAAGGAGGTAATTTGTACAATTCTATTTCAAATTGTCTAACATTAGAACATCTTTAAGTGGTATGTTGTTTTAGGATTAAAGCCATCTTTAAACTACTACTTTAATATAGTAAAAAGAAATCAGTCTAGTCATGACATTTCCTCTATTACAAAGAATGAAAAATTCTCTCATATACCATTAGGGTACTAAAAATCATTAGTGCAGTACTTTTCAACATCATTTTAATATGCAAACAACACTGATTTTTCCATCCAGTTATAACATGGTGGTAGATTTTACGACAAGTGAAATAATAATTAAGAAGGCTACACTGCGTACCTCACATTCTATGGAAATTCTAAACCAAAAGAGATCCTTGGGAAGGCTAGGGAGACAAAAGAGAGACAAGGAGCAGATGTTAAGACTAGCAAGTAATAGCCCAAAGCTCTGGCTAACTTCAAGAAAATTACTCGTGAACACTGACACAGTCCAAGACATCAATGAAGGTGAGGAAATCCAAAATTATAGTTGAAACTAGAACCAACATATTTCCCAGTTCCAGCTAAAGTTCCCAACTTTCTGTCTCTCAAGTGCATTTAAACAGGAAAGTGGGGTTTTCTTTTCCAGCTACGGGAAAACAGATAAACTCTTACACTCGAACTTCACACACGGTTACCTCTCGTAGTTTTGATCCGATAAGATCCTTCCCCCAGCCTCTGACTGAACAGACAACAGCGCTGGACATTGGTCATTCAGATGAGGCAAATTCCTGCAACGGGTGGAAGAGAAGAAAGACGCTTGGAATCGTGATCTGTCAGAAACCGAATGAGAGAAAAAAACTAAACGCAGAAAGAACAAAAAACCAGAGCAACCTGTCTTTGCTTCTCTTGGGGAAAAAAATAGGGGTGCAGGGGAGGAAGCGGTGGGAAGAAAAAGATAGAATCTCCCCATGTGTGTTAAACTCTTCTCCCCTCCCCCCAAAAAAACACCTTTGGGAAGGCAACACGGGGAGCAAATCTTATGGACACGGAGATGCATGGATGGGGTCTGGGGAGGGCACTCTACGAAAGCTTCCCAAGCTGCTGGGCAGAGCCAGGGGTCCCCTGGGAGGGATGGGTCCCTGCCTCCTCCGGGCCCGCCAGGGTCACCGAGGCGCGAGGCACAGGGGAGGGCACGCGCGCGCGCGAGCGCACACACACACACACACACACACACACAAGGTATACATACACACACAGACACGAGGTAGATATACATACATACACATACATACACACACACACACACTCACACTCACACGCGGTAGGAAAAGCTCACAGGCGGCGCGCCCAGCCCAGCTCACCTCACCTCACCTCCCTGCCCCGGCCCCACACTACACGACTCGCTTCCCTCCCCAGGGGCAGCCCGGGGGGGAAGGCGGGATGGGGCGGGGGAGTAAGGAGGGGGTGGCGGGACCTGATCCCGATCCCAAGCCTCCGCCACGGCCGCGGCCGCTGCCGCCTCCTCCTCCTCCTCCTCCTCCTCTTCCTCCTCCTCCCTCAGGCCCCATCCCCACAGTCGCTGCCCCGGCCGCGCTACCTGCAGCTGCGCTTGTTCTTTCTCGCTAGCCCGCTCGCCCCCGTGCCCAACCGCTAGCCCGCGCGCCGGTGCGCCGCCGCCGTTGACTGGCAGAGCCCGAGAGCCGGCCGGAGTCCCCCACCCCTCCCACCTCCTCCACCCACTCTCCCCCCTCCACACACAAGGACTCACACACACATACACACACACACATACCCAGGGCAGCGCGGAGCGATGCCCCGCCCCCGCCAGCCGCAGGACCGGCCTCCCATAGGTCCCCTAAGCTGTCAGTCCCCTCCCGAAAGGCGCGCGGGCCACCGCCCCGCCTCTTCCGATTGGCCGCCCGCGCGCGGCCGATGCAAATAAGGCACCGCCTCCACTCCCGCTCAACTAGTCCCCTTTACTCCCCCTGCCTCCGCGAACTCTCCCCTTGCCCAAGTCCCAGCAGCCCACGTGTCTTCTCTGTGCCGGACCCAGTCACCACCCCACGAGCCTGGGGAGGAGGCGAGAGCCCTCGGACGCCCCATACCCACCCGGTAATCTCTCTGGGGGTACTCTACTACAAACTCTTTACTCTGTCATTGCAGGATTTCCCTTCCCCCTTTAGCCCCTGACACTCCTGCCTCTCCCCTCCATCGGATCCACAAGAACTGCCCTGCAGATGGAAGGGGTGGGTAAGGTTTGAAAGGAGTGGTTGCGTCCCTAGCAGACTGCCGGGACATACTAGTCTAGATAGCCATCCTAGAAAGTCAAAAATGCCCAGCTCAGGACGGAGAAGTTCTCTGCCTTCTGGACCCAGGCCAATGGGTACTTAGTAAGTATTTGGTTAATTGGATGTGTTGAACCCAGAGGGAAATACCTTCTTCTCGAATGACTGTCATGCACTTTCCTTTCTCGTAAGCTCTCTGATATCCATTAAATACAGTTCACATGTATAAAAATGTTTTAACGGTGGCGACCTGCTTTTCTCACAACAATCCTGTGGGGTGAGCAGAATCATGGATTAGTCCTAGTCCAAAGCTCAGCGATATTAACTGTTTTACTCAAAGTCAAACAATACATGGCAGCTGCGTTGAGGCAGGCACTCAAGGCTTTATCTTCTGACCGTAGGAAAGATCAGTGCTTTTTCCTATCACAGCCTGTCAGTCAAACAACAGGTATTTATTAAGCAGCTGTCTCATACAAGGGAGAGTACAAGCTTGGAAGGAACTCAAGAAGAGAGAAACCAGGAAGATCTTTGCTCTCCAGGAACTTCACAATTTGCCACTCAGTAACTGCCACAAGGACTTTTCACATTAGAATTGGGAAAGAATTAGGGTTCTCCAGAGTAGGAAGATAGGAGCTAAGGGAGCATAGGACCAAAGTCCATAAAATCACGTGAAATTGCTCAGATGCCCACATCTAAAAATTAAAAGCTTAAAAGAGACAAGGTTAGGCACTAAAACGAAGTCCTGCTTGACAAAATGGGTTGTAAACTTGGGGAGCTGATCTCTCTAAAGAAGTGATACAGGCTGAAAACATGGAAAAAGTTTTAAGTTCAATCTACAACCATTGAGAGTTGACTCTGTATGCAGCACTGAGTGTTCAAAGCTAGACAAAGATAGTTTGGCAGTGCTGGGAGTAGAACCTGAATCTCTTGATTCCCCTAGTTGTAGACAGGTTCTACTACATCTCAGCCAAATGAAGGAGTTTATAATTCTCAGGGGAGATAGAACAACATTTATGTCAATAAATATAATAGTGAATTGTGATCAATTAATAAAAGAGGCATGTACCAAGGGCTATAAGAAGATGAAAGGATTATATTAAATTGTGAGCTCCTTAAGGGCAGTCTTTTGTCTCTTTTGGTATCCTCAGTACTCATTGCCTAGCACGTAGCAAGTACTTATTGATTATTGATTACTGCTGGCTAGGAACTATTTGTTGTTCAGGCATGTTCAACTCTTTGTGACTCCATGTGGAGTTTTCTTGGGAAAGATATTGGAGTGATTTGCCATTTCCTTCTCTAGTTCATTTTACAGATGAGGAAATAGGGTTAAGTGACTTGCCCAGGATCACAAAGCTAGTAAAATGAATGAGGCCAGTTTTAAACTTAGGAAAATGAGTCTTCCCAGCTCCAGGCCTAGCACTCTATCCACTTTTCCACCTAAGGATATTTTGGTAAGGATTTATGGAGGAAGACCATATTTGAGCTGGAAAGGTTTGAAAAGGATCCTGCCCAATATAAGGAAGATGTTTTAGGTATAAGAAATAGCACAAAGGAACAGTGGACACAACCCCTAGTTCAATCCTATTCACCTCTCACCTGGACTATTGCATTAACTTGCTAATTACTCTCCCTGCCCCCAGGCTCTCTTGTTTCCAATCCATCCCCCACATAGCTGCCAAGATATTCCTAAAGCACAAATGTTACTATATCACTCCCTGATAAAGAAACTCCAGCGGTTCCCTATTGCATCTAGGATAAAATGCAAGCAACTTTGACATTTATTTAAAGGTCTTCACAACCTGGCTCCAGCTTAATTTTCCAAGTTTATTGCACATAACTTCCCTTCACATACCCCGTGGTCCAGTCAAAATGACCGTCAGTCTACATGCTTTTTCTTGATTGACCCCCATGCCTAGAATGGACTCTATGCTTACCTCCCAATCTTAGATTTCTGAGCTTCTTTCACAACTCCCCTCAGGCACCTCTTCCTACAGTAGGCCTGTTGCCCTAGTTACTAGTGTTCTCCCCATTCCCAAATTACTTTCTATTTACTTTGTACATATTTGGATATATTGATATACAAATATTGATCACAGAATCAGTTTGGAGCTAGAGAGGACCTGACAGGTCATCTTCTCCAACCCCTTCATTTTCAGATGAGAAAACTGAGAAACAGTTTCCTTGAGAGCAGGGACTGTCTTTGTATCCATAACACCCAGCACAGAGCCTGGTATATAATGTCAGTCACTTCATAAATGCTTGTTGAGTCAATTAGTTAATTGATGGGACTGACTGTAGTAACCACTTTGGCTCTTGAGTAGGCCATGTGAAAAGAAATATTGAAAAGGCTGGAAAGATAGGTTGTGGGTGGTCTTAAAGGCCAAATACTGGAGGTTAGACTTAATTCAGCAGACAATGGGGAACTCCTAAAGGTTTCTGAGCAATAGAGTGCTTTTGTCACAACAATCCTGAGAAGTAGGGTAGCATGAGCATTATTGCCCTCATTTTTATAGATGAGGAAACTGAGAGTCACTGAGATTTGATGTTCAACCTAGAGTCACACAGTTTATAGGAATATGCTATTAAGTGTCAAGGAGGAGCCTTGAGCTCAAGTCCTAGATATGTATATACATAAATATAGTACAAAACAAAGTCTGCATCTTCTTGGGGATGCTATAAAAGGATATCTATGTTGGGCAGGGGTTTACACTCAATTTGGGGGGGGGGGGCAATTGAGATTAAGTGACTTGCCCAGGGTCACACAGCTAGTGTCAAGTGTCTGGTCTGAGGTCGGATTTGAACTCAGGTCTTCCTGACCTCAGGGCCGGTGTTCTATCCACTGTACCACCTAGCTGCCCCTACACTCAATTTTCTGTAAGATCCCCTCCATTTTTAAGATAAAATAAGATGATCTCAGAGTTGCTGCTGTAAGGAAGATGAGGAAGGACACAGGATTATCAATCATATGATCCTGAATTTAGAGTTAGAAGGGACCTTAGAAGTCATCCCGTTCAGCCAGAATATTTTATAGATCAGAACCTGGAGACCTCAGAAGTTAAGTGACTTATCCAAGGTCACACAAGGAGTAAGTGGCCGAAGTGAGATTTGAACCTGGGTCCTCTGAGTCCAAATCTATTATTCTCATTATACCTAGTGTGGTAAAAATTTGGAATCAGAAGAATTGAGTTCAAATACTGGCTCTGCTACTTGCTACCTGTATCATTGTAAACTCTCTGGACCTTTACTCCCTTAGCTATAAAATGGGGGCATTGGTTGTATGACCTCTAAGGCCCCTTCCAGTTCTAAATCTTATGAATAATCTATGATGTACAACATGAACTACATTGGAGAAAACCTAGAGGTAAGGAAAACCAGGAGTCTGAAAAAGGAAGAATGAAAGCATGATCTAGGGTGGTGACAATGGAAGAGGGCGCAGATTGGGAAGGATGCAACACATACTTTGTAGAAAGACTAGACAGAGGGGCAGGTAGGTGGCGCAGTGGATAGAGCACAGGCCCTGAAATCAGGAGGACCTGAGTTCAAATCTGGTCTCAGACCAAACACTTGACACTTACTAGCTGTGTGACCCTGGGCAAGTCACTTAACCCCAATTGCCAAAAAAGAAAAAAGACTAGACAGGACTTGACAACTGCTTGGATGAGATGAATGAGAGAGAGAGAGAAGACAAGAATGACACTGACCTTTCAAGCCTCAGTGACTGGGGAAAAAAAAAGGTGGTACTCTTGACAGGAACAAGGAAGTCAGGAATTTCATTTAATTCCACAAACACTTACTAATATGTGCCAGGCACTATGCTGGGCATTGGAAATATAATGACAAACTAGAACAATTCTTGACCGTAAGTCACTTTATACTCTATAGAGGGGAGGAGGAATACAATAAAGCATAATATAAGAAGAGGAGAAAGTTTGGAACTGGAGGGAAGGGTGGATGATGAGTTCAGTTTTGGGCTCATTACGGACAAAATGAGGTTTTCAGAAATATATTGTCAGACCATGAGCTGAGGGTCAGACTCACCTGGAGTTGGTTCTCAGTGATTATTTGTTGAGGAGGGGGTTGAAGTCCTTGACCTCTAAAGGCTTTTCCAACTCTAAGAACCAAATGGAAGGACCCCAAGAATTCAAAGGAGCAGCTGGGAAAGCTCAGGAAATAAGTGCACATTCAACCATGCTGAAGCTTGGTCGATGGAATTTAGAGGGTAACCATCAATGAGTAAAAGTAAAAAGTTTTCCTAGGAGGTAGAAACTGAGACTGACTGGCTTTGGGTGGTGGGTGATAGGGCTGGGTCACATGGCAGCCAATAACAATAGACCTTCCAGACACAAACTAAAGTTCTGCTAGGGCAGATTTTATGAAAAAGAGTGGGGCAAAC